AAGAACAAATTGTCTGCCACAATTGCCTTTTTTAAATCAGGGGACAAATTATTGGTCGAGGGACCATATATTATTATTATCAAAGCGCGCTCATGGATGTTTGTCTAGACTAGAAGATGGAAAAACCTAATAGTTTCATTTTTTATGTGTATTAACATATTTTGATAAGATGTCTCACTATTTTTTTTATACTAATGTGTTTTGAATTTTGTCAATGTTTTATTCGTAGTTCGACAGTGGAACTATAACGGACGTCTTGTAGCTTTATTCCACCATACATTGTGTTTTGTTTAAGATAATATTATATTTATTTAATTAGTATTTTTAAACTGATCGGTAAGTACCTACATATTTTCTATTAAAAATATAGCCAGTTACTATAGGTTAGCCTATAATAGGTATGTATCATAATTTCAATAATCTATACAAATATATTGTAACTATATAACTGTATACCTACACTTAAAAAGATGGTCAAGTGATCAGCAAACCCGGATTAAGGATCAATTGGGCCCCAGGATACCTTCACTTAGTGAGCCCCCTTTCAACTTTAATTTCAAAATAATTGTATCATTACATATTAATGACTTTATTTTATTGTATAATTTTTTACTATACAAAAAATATATAGAGTGTAATTTCGTTAAAACAAAAAAAGATGTGTTTCTTTATATTTAACAAGCAATTTTTTTACAATATTTTCAAAATTGTTTAACACGCTGTGGTACCAATTATAAAATCGACTTTATTTTTTCAAATGGTAACCACTACCTTTATTTTTTGATGGATTCTGGTACAACTTTTTTTCTGAATATTTTGAGTCAAATAATCAATTTTGGTTCGCTAGGTTATTAACTATGGTCCTCCAAAGTTTATGCATTAATAGGTACTTTTAACTGAATTATCTAATTTACAAGAGCTAAATATTTTTTTTTTTATTACTACCTTTTTGTATACTTAAATAGTTAAATCGGTAATCTAAAATGCTAAAAAAAAAAACAAATAAAATTGTTGACAAACATAGTTCTTTATATTTTATAGTAATTTTTCTTGGTGTAAAATGAAGAACAGTTTTATTTTATAATTATTAATAATAATTTACCTAATATACCTACCTACTTAAATAATTATTTTTTTTTTTTTTGAAAACTATTGGTCGTTTTAAAAAAATATGTTTTGGGGATAACGATGGGCCCCGGGACCGTGTCTCCCCTTGCCTCCTCCAACCACAATCCGGGCCTGGTGGTCAGCTGTACTTAGAATAGGTGTCTAGTGGGTCATGAATGTGTTAAATTCTAAACTATTCTAAACAGAGATGGTGGGCCAGACTAGGATATTTCAATGATTGTATACCATTAATATTTCCATTAGAAATTATTTATTTATAGGTATGGGTTAAATCCAGTTTTGAAAAAATACATTGAATTTACATACCTAGTACCTACCCTAATATCCTAAATTTTGGATTCCCGATTATTTTGAAAAATGAGAAGTACCTATGTACTACTGTATCTAGCATTAATTATGTATTATTAATTATTATACATTGCTCACTGCTATCAAAAACACGTTATACGAGAAATGAGAATTGAAGATCAATAGACAGTGATACGGTTAACGATTAAACAATTTTTTATTGAAAATTATTAAGTACCTACCTATGTACTTACATATTAATACATAGACCAATATAGAAGCGACACTTACCCCTCCATTTTATCTTTTTGATTTCATGGAGGAATGATTGATGTTGTAAAATTGGTGGTAACTAGTAACACAGAAGTTACGAACTATTTTAAGGCCGTTTAAAATTCTCGACACATTAACATTGCTACCCGAGAGTGTCACTTTGTGATACCTATTATTTATTAGTATACATTTTAATTAGTATTATTTTTTACTACGACCTCAACTCCCGCACTACAAATATAAAATATTACAATGTTGTGACTATATTATTCGTTATCTCACCACTGCTTGCGCTGCGGCCGAACCGATTGTAGTGACAATAGTACAGTACAATGACAAATTACCATATTATAATATTTTTATTGGCATAAATAATAATATAATATTTTGATGATTAGAAATCGAAAACAATAATATAACTTATAAGTTATAACCCAACACATATAGGTAAAAATGTATACCTAATGTATATTGAAATTTACACAAAACTACGTACCCAATTATACAAGGTTTTTTATTATTATTGAAACTTCGTAATATTACATGATACCTATTGAAACATTTACAAAATAAATAAATAGTAGTTATAATATTTTAACTTTTATGACTATTCAATTGGTGTACTCCGTAATAAATAATAATCCATTTTCGTTTTGTACTCTTTAAATATCCTAGTTCTAAATAATACCAACTTTAACAATACCTACTTTAATAATAAACAGGTAATTAAACTTATAGGCCCCGGCGCAACTCGGTGGGTGGTTGCCCTCCCCCCTGGAAAAATAGGTACATAATTACCTACCTAATTACCAAAAAACAATTGTTTTTTGAAATTACTATTAAGATACCCATGAAATAAGTATTCGTCAATCAGGTATGAAGTAGGTTAGTTAGGTACGTAAGAGTAATCGCAGATAATTTGCAGTAAGACCATAAACATCACATACTTACGACCTCCCTACTATAAATATTCTATCAGACAACATTTAATGATTAATGAACATAATATTATAAGATACCGTAGGATAACTATGATTTACGAATTGGCAGCTGGTTACCAAATACATGCTTATTTGTGTACTGAATTATAGTCTTGTACTGTCTGTTTGATATTGTAGTGAGTGCCGAGGATTTGTAAATTATTCTTATACATTTTTAATTTTTAACCATGGATATTTTATCATTTTACTATCTATCTTACTAACTATCCAATAGCAATGATTCAGATTTAAAAATGAACACTACTACTGACTACTTACACAAGACCTCACCAACATCAACTTCACATTTTATTATGTTCTTAAATATCATATCCAAATTTTCTGCCTTTCCACACCATTTAATATAGTATAGTGTAGTATAGTATTTTAGCATAGTCAAAACCAGAGCTTATATTTTGGGAGTGTTAAAAGTACCAAGATGACACAGCGTTGGGGGGGTACGCTCCCACGCCACATTATCCACCGTAATTCACATCAACAAAACATATTATATACAAATTCAACTCTATAATCCTTAATTTATTTTTTGTACAAATTGTCTGTCTTTAGTATAGTACACATCTAAAATGTCTTCATTATTTTTCCAAATTAATTGTGAAATGGTCTTGTAGCGTGTTGGTTCGTAACCAATTTTTGATACGCCTCATAGAAGAAAACAATTTTTTGCAAGTGGCTTGTCTTATGGGAATTCTTACTGCAACTTGTAACAACTTATTAAGATTTTGATAAACATGTTTTTCGATCACTTTGCTAATATATCATTAATATCAAAATCAGGTTTAATAGTAATCATACAGTTTCTTGCTACAGTCATTTCTGATTTGAAAGCATGAATATCCATCATTAAAATATCCTAAAACAATTAAATATTACAATAAATTAATTTAGAAAAAAACATTATTGAAAAATGTTATATTAACCTAAAATATGAACTTTCTATAAAATCCATTTTCATAAAACATTCAACAGAGCATGCCATGAGTAAACTCTCTTTAGAGAATCTATACTTAAGGTTTCTTATAACAGAATTAATTACAGGTATGTAGGCTTCAACCATAGTGTTTGAATTTACTTTCTGCTCCACTAGCTGCAAACACCACATAATCATGAAGATTTTGAGTTTCCTTTCTTTGACGTTTGGATCCTTTTTTTATAAATTTAAATCGAAATATAAATTAAATTACTTTTAAAATGAAAATTATTTAATATATAAATATAATTACCAATAGTTGAAAATTGTAAGTATGTTATTTTCATCAGTAAATTTAACTAATTTTTTCAAACATTATGGAATTCTTCATCTGTTCTTGATGTTTCAAATGTTTTTACTTCATAAACTATTACTTAATATGTTCATTATACTCAATACATCTTTAAGAATAATAAGAAAAATAATGAATTCACATTTTTGTATAGAACTTAATATGCCTGAAAAATTAAAATTAGTTTATAATTATTAAATTGAACAGTCATTACTTTATTAGTTTATTACCAAAATCTTGAGCAATATCTTTATCGGATTGTTCATTCATTTTATTTTCAATATATTCAACAATTGCATTAAAATTGTTTCACATAGCCTCGCAATTTTGGTACCTGCAAACCCATTTAGTATAACATACTGCCTTTTTTTTAAACCTAATTTAGATTGTATACCACATAACTTTGAATTTTTTGAAGGTCTTGAAAAATGGACATATACAGCTTTAAGTACATTAAATACATAGTACGAGCTCCCTAACAAAAACCAATGACAATGTGAATAGTTTAAAATTAATAATATTTTTAAATGTAAGTTGTGTAGACTAAAGGCTTACCTTAATACTTTTGTACGTATCAACAACAACTAAGTTTGGTCGGTGTGCCATGCAGTGGGTGTAAATTGCACAAGTCTTTAAATTTTTATTGATTAATTTGATTAATATGACATTAATATGACCTGACATGACACTTGTATCGTCATATGACTGGGCAATAATCTTAACAGCATTCTGGCGAGGAAGAAGACATTTTAGACAACGGCTTGTGCTGTATTTCTCTTCCAATTAAAATAATTATTGACCATTATAATGTTGAGCTAAGTAACAAAAACAGAACAGAACTGACCCACGCGTCAGTGCTGCATAATACCAACCAAATAGTAAACAAACAAAGAATAGGGCAGTGAGCAATGTATATTATAAGAATATTCAAATTCAATGATAGGAATTTTATACTTTTGCCCCCTCCCCCCCAAAAAAGTATAAATCAGATAGGTATATGCTTGTATAGTAACATTTATTATTAATGTCATTGACCTATAGATAAAATATGTTTCGACCATGGGAAATGTGCTCGACAGCTGCAGCTGAGGCTGATGAACCCCAACAACTTAAAAACACTCATGTAAATTTAAAATGGGTCATGGCTTACTTGGAATATAGTGTTTATCCAGCTAGTATTCCTGATAAAGGTAGCCGAGCAAACTTCAGGAGATGTTGTCGACCATTTGTAGTAAAAGACGGAGTTCTTTATTACAAAAGGACGATGGCCAAAGTAATAATTACTCCAGAAGAACGAACACAAATCATTAAATTGGTTCATGATGGTGCTGATAGTTCTTTGGAAGCATCGGCTTTGTCTTCACATCATGGTCGCGACGCCACACAGAAACTTTTGAGAAAGCGATACTTTTGGCCATCAATGTTGAATGATGTGAGAGAATACATCAAGCAGTGTGATGCCTGCCAAAAAGCAAACCCTGCGACATTAAAAGTTATTCCTGATTTACAATCGGTTTCAGTACCTAAGCAAGTGTTCAAACAAATCGGTGTTGATATTATGACACTTCCAGTAGTCGATAACATGAAATATGTTGTAGTAGCAATCGATTATTTTTCTAAGTGGTCCGAAGCAAGAGCACTTCCGGATAAAAGTGCAGAATCAGTTGCTCGCTTCCTGTACGACGATATAATCTGTAGACATGGCTGTCCTTTAATTCATATTACTGATCAAGGAAGAGAATTTCTTAACAAACTCATATCAGAATTGTTTCGCTTAACTGGTACCAAGCAAAGAGTGACTTCGGTGTATCATCCTCAAGCGAATGGTTTAGTTGAACGCCAGAACAGAACTATAAAAAACTGCTTCCTCAAAGTTCTGCAAGATAATAGTAATAAGTGGCCTTATATTTTGCAAGGTGTACTATTTGCACATCGTACGACTCAACATACTTCAACAAATTTTTCTCCTTTCCAAGTCTTATATCAAAGAGAACCCGTATTGCCTGTTGATATTTGTAATTTAAGATCAACAGAAGAAGGCACGATAATATCTGATGATCTTAGTATCATATCCGATGATGACGTATTTGATAAAGTTGCTTTTCATAAAACATTTGAAAAAATGTTAAATATGAGAAGTATAATGGAAGATAAAGTCCATACAAACATAGAAAATGCTCAAGTACGGCAACAAGTTTCATACAACAAACGCCATAAAACTGATAGTGTGTTTAATGTGAATGACAAGGTTTTACTGAGAAACCTCAAGAGAGATGACCGTAAAGGAGGTTGGAGTTCACTTCCCTGGAAACCAAAAATTGGTTATTATATTATTGATTCCATAAATTCAAATAAAACCTGTGTCCTAATGTATAAAGGCAAAGTTATGAAAACAAGGCAAAACTTGTCAAATTTAAAACATTATTTTGATAAAGATATACAAGTTGATGATGATATTCTAGAAATTCCAGGAAATGTATATCAAAATATTGTTTCAAGATATTATAATCCGGTTTCGTACTTGTGGCAAAAGATGCAATGTAGATACTTCAATTTGACGATTAAGCATTTCCATAGACTATCTTCAGTACCTAAAGTCTTGAATAATCCATCAACGACAATAGATATAATTGGTGACGGTAATTGCTTTTATAGAGCCTTATCGTGGTGGATTACGGGTGATGAAGATTCTCATGCAATAATTAGGAAAGAGCTGAAAAAGGTATTTATAATTAATTAATAATTATTATACAATTTCATTGGTAGCATAATTTATATTTTTAAATTGTTTCTTTTTGATAGTTTGTAAGAAATGATGATAAAGTAATTAAATTTATTGGTGGCCAAACTCAGATGGAAGACTATTTAATAAGCAACCCTATTGGGAAGAATGGTAAACACAATTTAATGTTCTTGAATGATTAATAAATGGGTAGATAAATAAATGCAATAATTGTATTTACTTGTATTACAACTAGTTTTATATTTCACTCAACTACATACTACAATACATTTTATAGCAAATTTAAATTATGATTTATTAATTATTCAAAAAAATAAAATTAATTCTATTATAAATAATTACCTATATTTCAGCGATTTGGGCTACTGAAGTTGAGCTATTTGCTGCAGCTCTATTAATGAACACAACTATAATGGTATATACTTTTTCCAACAAACCAGATTGGCAAGTATTCCATAAATCTGGTAAAATTCCAGAAGTATTTAATATACATGAAAAATGTATATACTTAATTAACTCAAATAGTAACCATTTTGATGTTGTTACGAGTGTTGTAACTTCTGTAGAAGATCTAAAATAAAAAGTAAAAAGTTATAAAAAACTATAATAATATACCTATATATTATAATATAATGTTAATAATTAACAGTAATAAAATATTATTTAATATTTATTTAATATGATCATTCATGATAATATTTTATAGGTATTTGACAAGTAGTCAAGTAATCTACTATTCATTTTTATACTTTTATCAAATTTTTTTTTTTTTTTGAATTTATTTTATAAGTTTATTGTTTGTAATAATATTAATACATTTTTAAGACTGACCAAGTAATTCTAAATATTATGAACTATAATTTATAATAATTAATACATAATATATTATAATATATTATTAATAAAATATTAATAATTAATAGTAATAAAATATTATTTAATATTTAATATTATATCATTTGTTACAATATTATACTTGACAAGTTGTCTAGGTATTGTTAATTTTTTTTATATTTCATTTAATAAAAGTTTTTTTTTTTAAATTTTGTTATGTTTATTAAATCTGGCCCTATTTAACATTCATATTATTAATAGAAGACTTATTGACTAAAATAAAATATTATTCGTTGTTGATAGTTAAATTAAATTAATACCCATGGGCCATGAACCATGATAATATAAACAACAAGGTATGATCGTTAGTCATTACTTTTTGACGGTCAGAATGTCAGATACTCAGATCCTTCGGTCTGTCTATCATTTTTGTCATTTTATTTACCGAACTGTAGTACGTTTTTATATTTGAGATAGGTACCTAATATACCTTTAATGTTTGTTATGTGAGAGAAATGTACGTACAGAATACAGATTATAATAATATAGGTAATGGGTTACCTAATATGTGGTAAATAAAGACTGACCGAAATTAAACAAATATATTAACTATTACGATTTAAGGAGATTCGATACCGTGATTTTCTGTATTTGTCTAACACACAGTACTTATACGATACATAGTATTTTAGACGTGTTTTTTGCCAAACATTCCAATTGATCTATTGTAGCGATAAGAATTCTGAAAACAGATTTGAATTTGTCGTCAAGTCTACTGCAAAAAAGACTTTCCACATGTTTGATATTATCCCCTAAATTCCTAAAAATGTCGTATTAAAAAAAGTATATACAAATTGTCGTATTTTAATCCTACCCTAAAATCAACTACCTATAAATCGTAGCGTAGAGTATAGTATTATGGTAATAATAATTTGATGACAATATTATGATAATAATTAATAATAATATGGGTAAGTAATTGTATTCGTTGTAACTACGATTTATGAATACCTCGAATCATGGTTGTAACCAATTTCCCATTGGTATTTTTTTTTGTCTTCTATCTTATAGAAATACACGTAAATACATATTTTACAAAAAAATAGTTATTTTTTCTAGAGGTTATGTAAATTAGTAATTCTTTTGCAATTATATTTAGAGACCTTAAACCAACTTGTAAAGAAGACATTGAAGATTTTTTAGTGCTAACGAATGGTATTACAAGATTATTTTTAGTATTAAATAATAAAATAAATTATTTTTGTAAATAGGTCAAGCATATTGCATGTTTTTCTTATATAAATTGTTAATATCAAGTACTCTTAAGGGGGCTGGAGCGTAATCAATTCTAAGGGGTAAAAATTAGGCATTTTATATTTCAAGTTAAATGGGTCTTGTGAATGTGTTGAAAGTAAATGAACATGAGTGTGTAATTCATAGTACCGATCACGTTGTATTGGCGCGTCATAATACGTCTGTTATTTTACCTACGCGCATGCACATGTCAGTATGTCACCATATTTTATTACTTTATAAAATTACAAACATTTTTTTTTCAAAAAATACTGCCAGTGACTTCAATCACTACGCTCAGTAGGATGTTCGGATTTAAATTTTGAAAGCAGATTTGAATTCTCCTCTAAATTTACTATGCTTTGATTGTCGTACATTTTTCATATTCTGTATCAATATATTTCAATTTTAATTATGAATAATATTATAATCTATTTTTACACTTTTTGTTACTAAATTTCTAAGTAAAAATAAATAAATCAGAAAAGTAAAATTGTCAGAGCATAGATAATTTAGCGACGAATTCAAATCTGCTTTCAAAATTAATATCAGAACATTATAATATTGGGCGTAGTGATTGAAGTCATGAGCTGTTTTCGACCGAAAATTATTCACGCTCCAGCCCCCTTAACATTTTAAATAATTCACAAGAAGGGAAAGTTTTCTGTTTATTTAAGATGATTTTTATTACATTCTTTTGTCTAATTGACATAATTTATTAATTGAAAAACACTTATCTATTATTAACATATTATAAGCTTTACATTTATTTTAAGTTGTATCCCAGAGTCAGGTACCTAGTACCTACTATAATGGCTGTGTCATCACTCATCAGCGTATGAGTAAATCTTACCGTTGATATTGAGATTACTATAAATGTAGGTATGCATGATATCGATATTCAAGTGGGTCACTGTATAATGGATGCTTTTAAATTTGAATTCAATGATACAATATCATTGTATAAGAAAAACGATTCAGAGCGAAGACGGTATGTCAGTCTAGGTTTAAGACAAATTATATACATATCTATGGTATTAAAAAAAAAATTGACCTATAATGAATTCCAAATTAATCATATCACAATATCCATTAGGTACTTATAACGCGTTATACACCAACAACAAACCCTGATACTATCATAGATATATAGTAGTATACTTTAGAAGTTTCAAGTAGCCACGAATGATATTATACAACCACAACAAAATAACTAAGATAGTTATTCTAGGTTTTTTATTATGTAATTTCGTCCAAATTTGAATTTAAAATAAACTGTGCTTGTGTATTTTTTAGATTGTTTGATAACAGAATTAACTGGAATTATACGTGGAATCTTGTTTTAAACTTTCAATCCTTAGACATAAAAGTTAAACATTTTATACATTTTTAACTAAAAAATAATTATTCAATTTTAAATTTGATAAATTTTGTCAAAATTCGTTCTTTAAATGCTTATAAAAAAAATTGGGCCTGCGTATTTTTAATATTTTTCAACTGCTATTGTAACAATATATCAGGATCCTTGTATTCAATTTTCACACTTTTTGGCCCAACGATAAAACTTAATTGATATTCATAGAATAAAAAAATAAAAAAATTGAAATATGAAATTGCCCGTTAACAGCTCAAAACAAGTCAAAATATTTTGAAAATTTAATCAAGTATAGTATCAAGAAAAATATTTTCGTTTTATATACCTAGGTATTACAATTTTAAAGATTGGTCTTTAAAATAATATTTTATGAAAGTATAATGCTTCTAAGAATTTTTAAAATTTCATTAAATACGCAGATGACACAATACCTAAAATGCATAATATCTACCTGGCTGAAATTTAACTTCACAATATAGTTATAGATATGTTAAATCTGAAATTATTGAACTAAATAAAAGTTAAATAGGTAGGTAAGTATTCTGAATACATTTAAAAGTATTCTAAATAAGACTGGTTGTGGGAGACGAAAGTTATAATTGCCTGTTAGTATAGGAAATAAATATTATTATTTAATAATATTATTTACTTCCCACGATCATAACTCCTCCAGTAAAAATCGACAAGCAGTAAGTATCGCCTGCAGTTAGTACAAAAAATTTTTACTCCCGATAATTACAACTCCCACAGTAGAAATCGCACCAGTGATTAAATACACCAGTTAGTATATAGGAAATCCGAAATATTAACTCCCGATAATTATTACTCCCCCAGTAAAAATCGCCAGGGAGTAAAAATCACCTGTTAGTATGGGAAATATTAACTCCCGATAATTATTACTCCAACAGTAAGAATCGCCAGGGAGTAAAAATCGCCTGTTAGTATAGGAAATATTTACTCCCGATAATTATTACTCCCCCAGTAAAAATCTCCAGGGAGTAAAAATCGCCTGTTACACCGGTCGCCGGCAACCATAAACCATTTAGTATTTACCATTATACCATTTCGTGTATTGCTGACGAGTGACGAGTGACGACCAGCAAGATAGTACCTATATAGATGATAGGTACTTGCCAACGACTCAACGACTGTGATTGTTAAAGAATTCGTGATCCAGCTCGACGGTATTATATTAGGTATTATGCTGAAAACTCGGAACAATAATAAAATAAAATAAGCAATTTGGTGATTAATTCATTACCCGTGGCAACAATTAAGGTCGATGGCAAATCATATGCTCTTAATTCTGTGATTTTCCATCATGGTCCATCTATGACTCTCAAGTCTCAAGCCCATTACACATCAGTTATTAAACATAATAAAATAAAATATGGGTTAGATGTAACGATATCATATTTATGTTATAGTTTAAGAAAAAAAATCTAAAATAGAAAAAGAGATATTATAACAACAGGAGGCCAACTATGCATATGCTATTATGGATTATTATTATTATTATATATAGTCAAATAAAATCGCGACTTATTTCATAAAAAAAATAGCTGATATCACACTAAAAACAATTCGTTATAACTCCTTGTAAAAAAAAAGCTCAAAGCTAAGTTAAAAAAAAAATTGTTATGATTAAATCTTTAAAAGACATGATATAATATGGAATATAAGTAAAATTACATTTTATAATATTACAAATACCTATGATGACAAATAAGATCAATTGTAATGTTAAATACTTAGTCAACCCCCTGGCAGTCGCATACCTCCTATCAGTCGCATATCCCCCTGGCAGTCGCATATCCCCCTGGCAGTCGCATATCAAACCAGCAATCGCTGAGGAAGGATTGCCAGGCGGAGGTGTGGGAACGCGTCCAGGAAGCAGTTATTGTATAACTAAATATGTTGTTTTTTATGTACAATAAACGATGGGGTCCGGAGGAGAAGTAATGCTAACGCGGTTCCTCCTCCGGTCCTCGATCTAACCGGAAAAAAAAAAAAAAAAAAAAAAATACTTAGTCAACATATTATGTTTGACTATTTGGCAGGACTTAGAAGTATACTTA